TTTTCAATGATTATATTTATCATTTATAGAAACTGTCCTTGTTTTTCCCCCTCCAAACTGATAATTTTTATAGTATCTTGTTTCAAACTCATTTTGGCCAGTTCTTTTATTTATTTAAAGATATGGGCAGGATTATTCTCATTCCTATTCCAATGATTAGAATATGTGAAGTACCTTGAACTTAAACACTATTGTTGTCCATCAATCTAACTCCTGGTTCTCTCTCAGTATGGCTTGTTTGTCATTCTTTGCATAATTTCATATTTGAAGGCTCACTATTTAGAAAGGGTATTCTTCTGCCTTTGCCAAGGCTGTGAGGAAGAACGTATACTGATTTATCCAAAACTTTGGGTGCTTTTAATGAAAGAGTTTTTAGAACACTGAATGAGCATATTGCCAGTAAAGTAAATAGTTTTGATTTTTTTCAATAAGTGCAACTTGAATTCTATATATAGGGCTTCCAAAACCATACTGCTTGAATAAAGGTTACTTGTGCAAAAATAAGCTCTATTCTGTACAAAGACTAGCAGAAACATATCCATAGTGAAAGGACAGAAGTAGTATAAAAGGCAACTTTGGAAATCAAAAGTGAAAATCACACAGTAAGTATGACCCCATGATTTGAAATTGTTTGCATAACTGGAGGAATGGACAATGTGCACCACTTTTATGGTCTAATCCTTGAGCAATCATTGGCTCATTTAGTGGGTAAATAAGTTGAAGTCCTATAGATTTTTAATTTTCTTAATGTTTATTTTTTTGAGACAGAGACAGAAAGAGAAAGAGACAGAGCGTGATCAGGGAGGGGCAGAGAGGGGGAGAGACACAGAATCTGAAGTAGGCTCTAGGCTCTGAGCTGTCAGCACAGAGCCTGACGTGGGCTCGAATCCATGAGCCAAGCCGCGAGATCATGACCTGAGCTGAAGTCGAATGCCTAACCAACTGAGCCACCCAGGTACCCCTGAAGTCCTATTCATTTTTGAACATAAACATTTAGGACTGTTACAATGACTTGTAGCTGATTATTAGACCATTTTCTATAAATTGGTTTTGGTTGACCACATTAGCTATTGTTTTCCTTATTTCTCAATCCCATCATACATTAAACAGATAAAGGGTGGAAGATGAGTTTTCTCTGGGCAAAAAGCTCCATGAAATCAGATCCAATGTTACATTTTCCTTGGACTGTGTTTTTCCTATATTTAATTTCATTTTATATGTAGAAGCACTCAGATTTAACTAATGCATTGCCTCTATTCTAAACTCAATTTAAAATAATGATGAAAAATATAAACTGAAAACACATTTTTCTCTCTCATAGAAATTCCTTTCATCAAACTTTATGAACATACCCACATTCACCCATCCATGGTTACACACACACACACACACACACACACACACACACACACGGTGTGATAACAATAATTTTCATTTGCATTCGTTCCCTTCAAGGTAACATAGGCTAAAAGAAACCACAATGTCTAAGTTACATCTGAATATTTCTACTTTCATTTCAGCCTTCTGATAAGGCATAACAGTTTACGCACTAAACTAGTTTTATTGTCCAAAAAATTTATCAGGGATCATCAGAGGAAATTACTTTCCTCTCTAACCTGCTCACTACCCCACTCCTAACACTAATTTCAGAATCAGCAGTTTAGATCACTGACATCTGAAAATGAATTAGAATTAGTTCATCTCGAATCTGGCAAATTCTTTTATATATATACACATATATATATACACATATATATATACATATATATACACATATATATACATATACATATATACAGACATATATATAGACATATATATATAATGTCTAATATATAACATATTCAATATGTTTTGAGACAGATATATTCTTGGAAGGTTGAGTGAAAATTGAGTTTTTCTTAAATTTTTTTTTTAACATTTTTATTTATTTTTGAGACAGGGAGA